CCGGTGACTTCGGCGGGGTGCCCTTGCTCTTCCCTGAGCTCCCGCTGATGGCAAGCGTTGGGGGTTTTCCCTGTGCTGTCCCGTGCTAAAATTCAAGTATTCTTGTTAGAGCTGGCTGTGCTGTCACGTTTTTTAGGTGGCAGTCGATATGGAATTTGCCAAAAACATGTATGAGCTGCACAAGAAGGTGTCTCCTAGCGAGATCATCTTGGGCTGGTAAGTTCTCCTTGGGCAGGAACATGCAAGCAGTTGTGTAGGTCTGTTAAGCTGCTTGAAATGCATAGTTCTTGTCACAGGTTAAGACAGGAGCCCTGATGCCTGCAGTTACGTTCTGCAGCTCCGTTACACACAGGCAGTTGTAAAACTGCTGTAATTCTTAATAGGAGGAAACAGTACGAGAGACTCGCAGTGTTTACTTTGGTTTAGATCTAGAAAAGGTATCGCAGAAGAGTGATGAGTTACAGAATGCTTGCACGGATTTGTTAGAAGAACTATTTAGTGACCTGTAATACAACCTGTGCCATGGAAGATAACTGGTTAGAAAGAAGAGAGAACACAAAAATAGTTTCAAGTACCTAAGACCTCAGGATGAGTCTGTGATTTCAGTTTGAGCATGGAAAAGTTCTCTGCTGAGAAAAGGTGGAAATACTTGTGTTTGGGAGGCCAGGCTAGAATCAGGAGGGTGTTACAGGGACAGAATCCGTGTCTAGGCCTCTGGGTGTGTGGATGGAGCAGATAGTTTCACTAGTCTGTCCATGTCTTCTCTGATCCTGGAAAATAGCATAGCTCTGTTTCTACGGAGCAAAATTCTGCAAGCACAATGCTCAGTTTTCTCAACAATCTTTTAATGGCACGGTGAACCACAGATGTAATGACGGTTTTCCTATGCATACAGGACGCTAATTGCAGACCAGATAAAGGATCTAGATTAACAAGTCCTGTCTCCAGCACTGAGATGTTTCATCTGTGGAAGATCTACTTGGTGGCTTATTGCTGGATTCAATTAGCATGCTTTGATTTACATTGAAATAAGGAGTTGGTCCAGAGCGTAGTGAGAGATGCTTGAATCTTGGGTGTTTGACAGCAGCTGTACTGACTCTGTGTGGCTGGTGCAAAAATGTTGGTCCTATGCATGTTGCAGGTATGCTTGTGCTCAGACTGTGATTCCTACAGTTCTGGAACCGCTAGTCATAAAGCTACAAATGATGTGGCTGAAACACTATTTGGTATGCCTCTGCAGCTCAGTGTTTGGAAATCAGTGTTTTAGGATACAAACTTGTTAAATATCCACAATAGCAAACATTGGGCACCTGAGTGTTGGAAGAACGGCTCCTTATGTTTGTGTTTTTGAAGGTATGCAACAGGTCATGACATCACCGAGCACTCGGTCCTGATCCACGAGTATTACAGCCGGGAAGCGCACAATCCAATCCACCTCACTGTGGACACAAGTCTCCAGAATGGACGCATGAGCATTAAAGCTTATGTCAGGTATTTTGGAAAGTTGCATTTTTGGGAAGGGTATATTTGGATTACTAAGAGGGACACCATCAGGATAACAAGAAGTACAATGGGCTACAGTGTCCCACTGAGACAATCACGTGCAGTAGTTAAAACAGAGTTGTGAGCCAGGGATCGTGTTTTTCTTCCCACTGGAATGTCTTGACCATCGTACGCAAGCTGAAAGACCTAACCTTTCATAAGCTGGTTCCTCATTGGAGGAGGAGAAGGGAATTCTCACTTAACTCATCTTAAGAGAGTTTTGAACGTCTTTGTGACATTTTACCGGATTTATATAGCTAGCATTAATGTCACTAACTTCCCTCCTATTGTCTGAATGGTAGACTTTATTCACTGAACTTTATTGCTGGGCAGTTTAGTTATACACGTCAGAGAATCAGTGTGATTAAAACATAATCAGCATCTTCTTGATCAGTCTTTCTGGCCCTCATCCTCTGCATTTTTATCCATTGGTAATGGAGGTTAAATACTGAGAAATGCAACTATTCCACCTCACTGTTCTTCCTGGTACTGACTGAACACCTCTCTTCTTTCCAGAATAGAGCCCTGGCCTTTTTTTTTTTTTTTTTTTAAAGCCGAAATCATACTGCTTCCTGACTATGCATCTCCAAAAAAGAAGCTGTTCCATGACATCTTACATACTGAAAGCATAAATGAACTTCAGATAGAAATCACAGATCATAGAAATAACAAAGGTGTTAAGAGTGCTTTGTACTTGAGTTTTTGTCATCTTTATTTTTGTTCCTTAAGGGATTTCTCAAAGACCGTGGAGTATTTCAGGATACTATTCTTGCTCTACAAGCAAGAAGCAACTAGACAGTACTTAGCTCTTCATGTGCTCACGCAGACAAACATCAGGCTAGTTAGGAATATTCTTGGATGAAAATGAGCAGTTAATAATATGCTTGTGTGCATTTCCTGTCCTCGGTTATCCAGGCTCTTAATACTGCTGATTTTGGTGAGAATGAGTAATCTACTCATGTTCACGCTTCAGTGTTAACAGAGATCATCAAGATGGAAATATATTATCTCCTTCCTGTAATATGTCCCTGCTGAAAACTTGGTGGTGTTTGTTATTTTTTTCTAGTGCTCCAATGGGGGTCCCTGGTAAAACTATGGGCGTGATGTTCACACCTCTAACAGTGAAGTACGTTTACTATGATACAGAGCGGATAGGAGGTGAATGTTTTCTTCTTATTACGGTCCTAACCAGAAGTTTTGGTGTTTGTTTTCTGGTGGGTTGGGGAGAGTGAAAGGATCTGCAGTTCTAGGTTTTATGGCTGAGGGCTACATATAAGGATTGCTGCATATTCATGCACGCAGATGTTCCTGCTTGTGCTGCACTGCCCAAAATAGCAAAGACCTTCTTTCTTCGTGCTGTTGTTAAAGATATTCATGCAGGGGTACTGTCACACAAGACGGTGAAGACTGATGAAGGTGGAGCAGTGTTCTGGGCAAATGGTGTTGCTGTCTTGAGCATGCAAAATGATTGTAGAACAGAGTCAGAATACAGTAGCATATCAGTCTAGGAAAGAGAAGTGATCAAGCTAATTATGAGATGTAAGCTAACAAGATAATGTTAGGAAATTAAAATGGTAAAACTAGAGAGATGGAGGCAGAGGCTGAGGACTCCCGTCACAGGGACGGTAGATATATCATATTTCAGAACGTTATTAACTGTTTTTTCCCCTTGGTTCTAAGATGATGTTAGCCCTTAATTTGTTAATGTTTGGGGGTCACAGGTATTTCATCTGAGTTTGCACCACAGTTAATGGAGACAAATACAAATTAAGGCACTAATAACTTAAAACTGCATTTCTCTGAATGTTGCTCATAACTTCTGAGGTTGCTGTGAGAAAAAGGGATTGGATAGCTCTCTTTGTGCAGTAGTTTAAATCTGGCAGCAATGCAAAAGAAATGCAAACTTAAGGCTGGTGTTATACCTAGAGTTGCTACTGTGCTGTCTCTTAGAAGTAGACTAGATTTCTTATAAATCATGGCAGCATGTTTACTCTGTGTTTATGTGTGTGTGTGTGTTTTTTTTTATTTATTACTACTACTACTACTTTTGGAGAGGACAAATTGCTTTGAGTTTTCTTCAGTGTTGCCCAAATTCATTTTGGGAGATGCTGATGACTCTAATAGAACATGAATTGCATAGTGTGATTTTATTGTCATTGTGCCATGAAGATAACAACATTTCTGCCTGGTGGACTTGGAGCAACAAGATCCAGCAGATCTGGCAAGGGAGAAACCTTCTGCTCTCCTGCATAATGTTTGTGGCACTGTGGAAATTCTTTTTTTTTCCTTCTTTTTTTTTTTTTAATCCTGGTAACGTTGCCATGCTACTGGGAATAGTGATTAGACTTGTTGAAGTTGATGTTATCCTCAAATCTCCAGAGAGCAGTTAAGGGCTTAAGCTGTTTTCTGTGGCAGTCAGTTCTATTCACTGATTCTACTTATGCTTTCAGTGGATCTTATCATGAAGACCTGTTTTAGCCCTAATCGAGTGATTGGCTTGTCCAGTGACTTGCAACAGGTGGGATCAGCCTCAGCCAGGATTCAGGATACCCTGGCCATGGTGCTGCAGTATGCAGAGGATGTACTGGTAAGGCCAACTTTTCATGAGCCAGCAGATAAGTTTGATGGAAGCTTGTGTGTTTTGTTTTTCTTCTTGTATGTTCTCTTTTTGTGCTACAGTTTTGAGTTTGTGCCATGAGTTTTGCTCATGGTGTAGTAGCTTTTCGGTGTTTTTTTTTTTTTCCTCCTGTACCTAGTCTGGCAAAGTGGCTGCTGACAACACTGTCGGGCGATTCCTGATGGATCTTATTAATCAGGTGCCAAAGATTTCACCAGAGGACTTTGAGACAATGTTGAACAGCAATATCAATGTAAGTTTGTTTTATTTCTTTCAGTGTATTGCCAGCAACTTTGAAAGTTTGTCTTACAGACACAAGTTTGTCAAAACAAACCATCTTTTCATACCAACACGTTAATAGCAAATATAGCCTTTTTTCTCGTTTGATATTTTAAAAGCTGACTGTGGATAAAGGAACTCACCGTAATAATCTTGCAAACAATTGAAAGTGAGAGAACAAGCCTTAAAGTACTTAAGAATTGGGCAAATAATCTGAAAGCCAATATTGATTCTTCTGTTAGAGTGTTTAGACAATATAATGTAAATTACCAAACATAATGCAGTATGGATTTGAAGGGTAATTGCTGACTTGTCAACTCTCTTTACCTGAGCTGAAGTTCTTTTGTCTCATGTAACAGCCTCACCGGGTAACACGTAAGGCATGAACAAGGTTTTAGTGCTATCTAGTCTCCCTAACAGGTTTTTACAAAGCTAAGTTTCTGAACTGTTGTTCACCCACAGTCTGGAAGACTAGAAGTAATTTTTAATTTTGCTTATACCCTTTGACTTGCCTGGTTAACATAAATGAACTCAGAGTTAAATTTTCACAAGCAATGTTTCCTGTCCTGGGAATACCAAAACATTCTTCCTCTTAGGGAAGCATTCCTCAGGGTAGGATCTTCAAGACTAACGATAGTTTCTTTAGCTGTTTGTGAATTGCTTTAAAGGTGTTGGAAATTCACATCTCCCTGATAGGCTACTGTCTTTGTTCATACTAATACTTCTAATCACACTGTGTGTGTGTTTTGTTTTTGTTTTTAAACCTCTCAGGACCTCCTGATGGTGACCTACCTGGCAAACCTTACACAGTCACAGATTGCTCTCAATGAAAAACTTCTGAGTTTATAAAGAACCTTCTGCCATCCTACACTTCAAAAAGCCTGAAGAAGGAGCAGACACTCTTTTATGATGGTGTTACAGATTTCATTGGACCGTAATTTAATTACCAAATGACTTGGTTTACATCTTTATTTCCATTTCCCTGAAAAAATCCCTAACATGGTTTAGGAAAGGAATAGGAATTGCCTAATGTTTAGTTGTGCCCAGTATTTTAAAAGGGAATAGGTGAATCTTTTTTTTCTCCTGAGTTTATCTACTTGTATGACAAAATACAGCTTTACTGTAAGAATGTATTTGAAATAAAAGTTCCATTCCATTGGCCAGAATGGCTTCTGTCCAGTGATACCTCTTCTCATTTATTGTATAGCAAATGTCCTTTTGACAGACGGGGGGAAAAATGCTATGAGGAGAAAAACGGTTTCAGAAAAAATGGATGCAAGGTAACTCAAATTCTGTAGACTTGAAATTTTTTTCCCCAGGCTTTAACGCACAAAGTGTGGCTTCTCATCCTGAACATAATATGCTTTTCACGGGGGACTGCAGAATTGCCACTGTGGGCCTATGAGTGGTGGTGTGTATCTACCCTTCTTTAGCAACAAGGTATGAGACAGATGAGTTTACATTGTGGTATTGTTGCTGTGCAAGTCTGACCCTTTGGGAAGGGAAATAAAGAATAATGGAATTGAGGCCCTCAGAGTAGAAGTTTAGAGAGCTAAACCAGTAACTGGGTTGATGGCTGAAAAGGATTTGTGGCTGAGCAAAGACTTGCTACTGGAATTTCCATCTTTGCAAAAGAAAAGCACAGCAAAGCTTATACTCCATTGAATTTTTGAGGTTAAAAGTTTGAGGGTCATCAACTGTGAATCTTCTGAATCATGACCTTCTACTGCTGCTGAAATCATGTGAACTGATATTCGCCAGCTAAAAATCCAAGAATGGCATACCTGTTACAAAATCCAAATTCTGTGGGTCATGTTCAAAAGCTGAGTTTGTTCCTTGTTTGCTGTTTCACATCTGATTTTAAAAAAAGATTTTATTCACTTAAAAGTGAATAAAAGGACTTTAGGACTGGCTGTTCCAATTTTGAGAATTCTCCAAGATGTCCACTGTTAAATTCTAATTTTAGTGAAAAGGAAGGAATGTGCCTTCATGAGAACGTGCTACTGGATAGGCAGGATGCCAGAGTCAGATTTCCTATGACTGCTGTAAGGTACTTAGGATTGATTTTTGCACAGAACAGTTCTGGTGGGGGGGAAATTCTCTCCCTGACCTCTTCCCTTTGCACTTAAACTCTTTACACTCCCTGTTAGGAGCACTGATAGAATGTCCCTAAGAAGAAACAATGTATTCAACCTGTAGCGTGTTTCAAAACAGTAGCTTTTTAATAAGCTGCTATGCACAAAATACAAAGTTCTCAGAAGAAGATGATGATCAATTTGTGATTGTTGATATAGAAGAGGTATTGTGGAATTTGCCGCTCCTTACAAGTACTTGAAGCCTAATGTTGATACATCAAGAGGGACTGAGGTGTCTTCCCAACTAGTAGGACTGTACTGCAAAGCAAAGATGTCAGAAGAGCCCACAGTCTATAGGTTCAGCTGTATGGTAGACAACATAGTGACAAGTGCATGGAATTGAAGTACAGTGGAGGGAAAGAAGTTGACCTTTTAGGAACGCTACATCTGATCCCATCCATTCTGACCTTTGTTACTGGGTGAGCTATGCTGTGAACCTTAGTCTGACTCTGGAATTATGAATATTTTTTTCAAATGTCAGTGACCATTCTTGTGAAGGACACTCTTGCAAGCATAACTAAGGTCTAGGCTGTATCATTATTACTTAGGAGGCTGAGGAAAAAGGCATTGCCTTCTCTGGAGTTTGCAAATCTAGACAGAAGAATTTCTAAGGGTGTTCTATTTGAACTATGGAATTTCCTATCTAAAAGTTTGAAGTCACAGCGAAAATCTGGTGGGAAAAGCTCACGAGTCAAAAAATGTCACTAAGGATTTCAGGCCTTAATTTGCTATTATTTATAAATCATAGACTTCTTGGATTAATTATGGGACTTATTCTTTTCTCTTTTTTCTTTTTTTCTTTTTTTTTTCCACTTAGGATATGGTGCTCCAAATAGCTTTGACAAAGCGTAGCTTTAACTTGTCTGACTTAAATCGTTCTTTAAATGGTCAAGATATTTCTCTGGGTATGCCACCATATATTCACCATATATTATATTTAGTCATAGCAGTACCCTCATCTAATATATTAAACTTTTCTGTCCTCTATAATATGTGTCCAGCCTTTTCCTTAGGTGTCTTCTCTATGAGCAGATGCTTCTTTTCTCTTAACCCCTCAGCATTCAGTTTGTTTCCATTAATTTTTCCATTAGTAAACACAATGTTTACTGGCCATTAATGTATTATGTGTTTCTTTTTGGTTATAAATGTAAACATTTTTCTGATAAATACCAGGCTTTAAACTACCTTGCTTAAAGGGCTCTGCTACCACCACCTAGAGCTTATGTATTTGATTGCTGAAAAGCTAAGCTTTTTTTTTTTTTGTATTCTAGCTTCGTCAGAGCTGATGTCGAGTCATTACCTTGACGCAGAGTCTTTCTCCTTGAGACCCTCTTCTCCTCCAGACACCTAACAATACTCGGAACAGAATTCACTCTTACAATTGATACAGTTATTCCCTTTGGGTATAGTGTGCGCTTGGAAAGGTTGGAGGAATGTATAAAATGGGTTTAACTTGCTGCCTTTGACCGTCTTCTCAGATATGGATTTAAGTCAGCCTCAACAGAGACACAGAGCTTCAGTGAAGTGTCTCCTGACAGTACGAGAAAGCAATGAAAGCTTGTGTGAACTGTCTTTTCGGTGAGCATGGTAACTTCTGACAACTTGCAGTTTAATTAGCATGCAGACATTGTGATTTGTTCTGACATCTTAGTGCGGCAAGACTGTGCTTGTTAGCATCTTTGAGCAAGTCCATGCAAAACGCACAAGCACATACAGGTATTCTATGTTTGTATTTTTTATCAAGATTAATACTTACAGGGTGAACTGTGTTTAATAAGAATGACTTCTTAAAATAGCAGGAGGGAGCTGGTAAGGCTTCTGTATTCCTCAACTGATCAAAGTTGGGGCAGTAGGAACAAAGTAGAAGCGATGGCAATTGGAGCGAGCTGGTGGTACTTAGCTTGTGTGCTCTGTTGTGCTGTAAGTCTTGCAGCTGACATTTACAGGATTCTTCCTGAGAAGATGCTAGTGGATAGGCAGGATGCCAGAGTCAAGTTTCCTATGACTGCTGTAAGGTACTTAGGACTGATGTTACACAGAACAATTCCAGTGCTGATTTTGACTATAGGATTAGAATAAGAGGTAAAGGACTCCCTGCAGACTGTACCGTGCTGTTGTTAGTTTCCTGGTCAAGCTAAGAAGTGGCTGAAATTTGACATTCTTAATGCATTTGACTGAAGAAAGTGCATGTTTATATGTGTTTCTCTGGGTAAGGGAAGAATGTTGTGTTGCTATATTTGGTGCATTTAACAGATGCTATGTTGTTGCTCTTTTCTCTGGTTCCCTGTACCCACTATTTTTTTTCTTTAGAAGGGAGTTCCTGAATCACAAATTCAGTTCTTTCCTGTCTTAGACAGCCGTATCTTGAATTGCTTTAAATATACCTAAATGCATTTCTGAGATGCCTTATAATTTTGAATCCTCTCTCAGCACTTGTCCTTCCTAAAGTTCTTGTTTCCTGCTCTTCCTGGTATTTATGTATGACAGGTAGCCACCATACCGCAGCCATCATTTTGCTAGATTGACACGTTAAACTTACCTCCTCTTTCCTGATGCCCTGTCTATGCCTTGAACACTTAGCAGCCCACTTTAAACTTAAATTCTTGAACTTTAGCTGATAAAGACTATATCCATATCAGTGTATGGAGCAGTGGCTAGAAAAAGGCATTAATACTTTCCTGTTTCCTTGTTTGTCTCTTGGTTTCTGTCAGCTACTGTGCCTGAATACCCCAGTCTGTCAAATCTCTCTTCACAGCTGTCATTTGCAGTTCAGCTCCAATTTGCAGTGGAAATTATTACTTTAAATGCATGGCTTGGCATTATGACACTTTTTAACTGAAAAATCTAGATGTTATAATCATCCCCATTTTTCTCGTGGTTTGCATTATTCTCAGTATCAGCAATACCTCACAGTTTTGTCAGCAGATATCATTGGCTTATTCCTAACTTTTGTGTTGTACTCACTTAAGAAGAAAAAAAAATTGGAACTGATCCCAAACCAACTTAGCAGAATTCTACAAATTCCCTTTTCAACGTGGCCTTTGTTCTTATTTACAAGCTATTTATCCTTGTCCATGCTAATTCCTGTCTTCTCTGGTTTAACTAATTATTGGTTCTTGTCAAGTCCCCTGTGAATACCCAAATAATTTATACCAAATTCCTCCTTTAGAACGTACATTGTGCTAAACTGACGCAGTATGTCCAGGGACTCATCTTTGATAAGCCATATGCTTGGTTGTAAGCCTTGTATAGTGGAGATAAGATTAATTGTTCTATATTGCTGAGAATAGCAAACTTTTTTTTTTTTTTTACTATTTGCAGTTTCATAGCTATTAAAAAAAATCCTTGCTGCCAGAATTACATTTCATTTGATAGTGACCTTCATCCTAGTATACTGAAATAACTAAGTTTGCCTTGTTAAGTTGAGTCATTTAAGTTTCTTTACGCTTATGCCTGCTACAAAGAGGAAGTAGTGTTTTGGCATGTGGTTTTCCTTGTGTGCTTTGAAGAAGGGTGAGGCTTTTATTTGTAGTGTGATTCCACCCAACAGAACCAAGAGACCCAGGCTGCAACTCAGCTGTAAGATCTGTCCAAAATCTTGATGTTAGGACTGTAGTGGGTGGAGTCCTAACATGACTCAGTGGGTAGTGACTCTCGCTTGAGCAGCTCACCAAACATATGGCTCTTCTTGAAGTGATCAAAACTTGCTTTACTCCCTATTCACATGGAAGGTTAGCTCAACAGCTGACTTTGACTATCCACGTTTTAATTACTGCAGTCACAAGGCAGTGTGACAGTGAAACTTTTTTTAGTACGTAGTTTAGACTTGGATCACTGCAGTATCCTGTTGGTTTGTTGTACTTTGACCTGTGGTTTAAGGATGAACAGATCTTGTTGCTTATTGCAAAGTCTGGGCAAGTATGCTTTTTAGCTGCACTGACTGAAATATAACATCAAAAGTAATGCTTTGTACTATTTAAGTGTGAAGTAATATTCCAACCAGGCCTACGTAGCATAGAGAAGCACCAATGCATTAAGTGATCTATGTCACCGACGGTAAAGTTACTCGGAAAAGAAAGTTTTGTTTTGGCTCCGCTATTGAAAGCGCTCAGTACGGTTACGTATTTGAGAGCAAAATCCCTGAATAGCTCAAATCCAAGCAGTCTGCTAAATAAAATATATGAAGAATCGTGTGTTTTATAAATGTTGTTGGTTCCCATGGAAACAAGGATTTGAATGTATACCTGTCCTGAAAGAAGTGAGCTCAACAGAGGTGAAAATAAGAGTAGGCATACACTGGGAATGTCAACTGAAGGACGCTGCAAAGATTAAATTCTTAAAGTTGTTGCTGATACATTCTGGGCATACAAGAGAGAAACAAGCCCAATGTTGCTGAAGATAGGTCACTGTTCAAATTCTGTATGTGCTGTTGAGTGCTTTCCATCTGAAGTGGGCAAGCATGGTAAATTATTACCCATCTATTTTCTGCTGCCTGCACTTAATGCTGTTTTACAGACAAATAGCGCAGTGGTTGTTGTTTCGTCTAACGCTCAAGCACAGCCCCAGATTACGGGGAAAAAAGAGCTTGTTTTTTAAGTGGTCTCTGAGCTGCTAGCACATGCTTATCATAGCAAAGCAGGAAGAAGTTGCCTTGAATAATCACAGGCAACCAGTGCATAGCATCATGGGTGCATCCTTCCTAAACTGCATCTTGCTGAACAGGATTTCTTCCAAGTAATTAGCCACAGGGTAAAGGAAGGAATAATTCTATGTATTGTCTGTTCAAAATATAATATGAATAAACATTGCAATAGATTTAAAAATAGAAGCAAAACACTAAGTGCACCTCCCGCAGCAGTTACTCGTGTACAAGGGACTGTAACTGAGATTTCTTTCTAGAGAAATCAGTCTAGTAGTCAGGACAGTCTTACCTTTATGCCCTCTTGGGACCTAGATGCTGATCTTCATTAACTAGGTAAGAAGGACCCATTCTTCTAGCCCCACTAACGCCCTTGATGCACTTTGCCAGTTAGACGCTCGTCTGGTAGCCTGGGTGCCTTGGCTGACTACCTGCCAGTTACTGGAGGATAGACTTGATTGAAAGCTGCCTCATGTGTTACTGGATAATAGACTTGATTTAGAGCCTCATGTGTGAGGGCTGAATTTCATTTTAGCGGTGTCGTGGGGAAACGGCAACGTGGACGTCAGTCCTTCCTCTAGAAGGGGAAGGTGAGGGGACCCTTGGGGGGTAGGAGCCCGTGGTGCTTCCTGGCGCGGCTACTCGTTTCGGCGGTACTTCTGCCTTTGGACTTACCTCCTCGCCGTCGAGAGGGAGCGCTGGACCCACGGCAGCCGTCGGTAAGGTGGGGCAGGCCC